ATGTTGAGGACTTCACCTAAGGGTAGACTGGAAGTATGCTTTTTGCAGCTCTAAGTCACCCAAACAGCTCTTTAGCCTCCAGGTATCTAAGGAGTCAAAGTAAATTATGAGCAGTACCCCTCTTATACCTGTAGAAAAAAGTTAATAGCCTTGATACCTTTGAATATAGTTGGATCTGAGTTATCTGTGTCCCATACACAGGAGATCCTTTTATGGAAGGAAGAGGGAGAGAAGCTGCTTAATGCCTGCATTTAAACAAACCTCAGTTTAAAAACAGATGAACAACATGTTTTTGTAGCCTTTCACCAGCATCTGTGGTAAGGTTGAGCTGTTTGTATGAAAGCACTAACTCACCTCTTTTTTCCTTTTCTGCAGCACCACCATATCTTGTGCTGAAAAGAAGTTTGTTCATTTTCAGAAAAGCCTACATCAACTTTGGAATTTTTAATCCATATTCTGGTACTCTGGAAGGGTGGATGCACCAGATTTTCTCCATTCTGACACATTGTAGTGCCTTTAAGTCTTGCTGCCTGCTGCAGCGAGATACTGGAAAGACGCTGCTTTTAAATTTTTATTCTTTTTTTTTATTTTTAGGGTTTGATTTTTTTTTTTTTTTCCCCTTTTCTTTTTAAATCCACTACTACCAGTATTTACTTCCTGACTCCTGTGTAGTACTTGCCAACTGGCAGTTGTTTTTGACTATTGCCAGTGAGGTGAGATTCATCAGTGCACCTCTGTCTTACACACACACACACACACACACACACACACACACACACACACACACAATGTTTCTGTTTCAGGACTCTTTCTATGTCCCGAGTGCATGGACAGGTGCTCATTTTGTTTGGAGAAAAGTCAACAGAACCATTTTTCGTATGATGTGTTTTAGTGTGCTGAAGCAGCACTACAGTGGGCTATATCCTCCTCCTTTCAGATTGTGAAAGGATGTCTCCCTTGAAGAGCTGAATATGGAAATAAAAGCAGACCTATACTATAACCAGGCTGGCTACGTGTTGTTTGTAGGGAATCATTCCCTGAATGATGAAAGTCAAACATACCCACAGTAGTAAGAGCGTGTTTGCTATATTGACTATGTGGTCGCTTTGGATTTTGTTAATCTCGGTTCCTCATGGCTCTTCTGGTTTTGTGTTGTGGTTTGTTTGTTCTTGATGTAAGTGATGGTATGGCTCATTCATCTGACAAGTTGACCTGTTCACTGTATAGTGGAATGACTAGAAAATAAGTGGATTTCTTAAACCATTTGCAAACTGATAACCAGCCTCAGGAATTACTGGATTAGTCTAAGTCTTGTTGGTGAACGTTGCAGTCGTTCAGAGAGGTGTTCTCTCTGCACATGCCTTATACTCCCTGTTACAGTACCTAGTTTCATATCTAAAGCTCTCTGTGCTCAGAGGGAAGAAGTGTATTTAAAGCTAGTGGAGCAACTTCTCTGTGTGTATGAGTAGAAATTATTTTCTGGATATTGTCAGAACAGTGAGAGAGCTGGGCCTGCTGCTCATCCCTTGAGGGGCAGAGGAGAATGAGGATGTTCCTGTCTCCTCTCCTGGACTGGGCAGTGCAATTGCTGACATGAGCCCTCTTGACTGGCTACTCTTAAACCCTGAGCTCACTGACACAGCAGTGTCTGACAGAAGTGCAGTGGAAAGCAGAAAGTCCTCTTTGGGCAAAGGGCAGCCCCGTTCAGCTGGAGTCAGCCAAGGCACAGTCATGTTTTTAGCACTCTCTTTTCTTTGTCCTGAAGTCAACTTGCTGTGGTAGCAAATGCACAAGCCCTTCAGTTAACTCCCATGTTCTCTTCACCAGGAATACTCTTCAAAAATTGTTCCATGATGATGGTATTGACTTAGTTTCAATAGTTCACTCTTAAACCAGTGGGTGTTTGGTTTGGGGTGTTTTGGGGTTTGTTTTGTTTTGTTGGTTTTTTTCCCAAAGTCTAGATTAGTTTCCAGTTTTCTGCATTTTTACATTGATAATCCATATATACACATACATAGATGATAAAAGTTTTGCCCACAATATTTATCAAGCTCATCTCTCAACTGGACTGGAAAAAAAATTACTTTCTGGCAAAACAATGCAGAAGAACTTGTAGCATGTCAGAGTTCTCCCGTAATGGCTCAGGTTTCTATAGCAGGAATAATTTTATTTACCCTGTAATTTTGAAGAGCTGACTTCTCAGTCATTTTCCAAGTTATTAATTGAGTTAAAAGGCTTTTTCCCCCCTGTCTCTATGCAATGGAGTTTTAATAGGCTGCTGTGCTTTATTCCTGGCCATTTTCAAAGTAAAGAAATGTAATGTCAAAATGTCAATATTAAATTGAGTTCTTTTCTAAGGCGCTTCTCTGAAATGTGCATCATCAGTGAGGGGGGATGGAAACAATCAAAAAACCAAACAGTGCTCCTCTAGGAGCTTTGGAAGCTGACCAGATGTTGTCCTGACCAGCAGTTGAGGCCTCTCCTCACCTAACACTGGCATTTCTGACACTGCTCCCTTCAATTACTCTGTCTTTTCTGTAGTGTTTGTTACTTCAAATGCTTTTTGAAAATGATGTGCTACTGAAATCGCTCTCTAGGTATGTACTTGGTAGTCTAGTCTATTTAACATACCTTGGAAAAACACAAGGAGTTGTAGTAGGGAGGAAGGGTCTTGATGGATTGAATCCACATTGGTTTGTAGCTTCAAGCACTCTGTGGTGCTGGTTTTCATCCTGTGGCCTTCGTAAGGGCTTCTGAAGGATGGTCAAAACAGAAGCGGGTGTGTAGGTACTGCATGGAAATATGTATGGGTGGGGAAAAAGGCTTCCAACAGCAGTTCCATCCTCCACTGAATGCCTTCAAGGGTCCAGAATTTGGAGGAGGGAGGGAAACAAACCTTAAGCATTAAGTAAGGTAGTATCTCTCATTGTCTTTGTTAAAGTGTTAAGTATTTTTAATGATTATTCTTAAATAGCAAGATTGACTGGAACAATTCATATCCTGGGCTAGTCTTCACTTTCACAGTCTTTATTTTGAATTTGTAATAAACATTCTTGTGGCCTTTTAACCATCTACAGTCTTTAATATAAACTTCAGAGCAAGTTTTGTTCACTTGCTATACTGAGTTGTAACTTCTTAAATTTTATTTTTTTTTAATAAAGCTTTACTGTAACTTTTATGAGCTTTGACTTGTTTACTGTAATAAAAAATGAAGACAAAAGGTGATCCTGTGGGTTGATTTTTTTTTTTTTAATAGGCTGTTGTAATGAATGGACTGACACTAAAAATACTGAAGGATTTTTTTTTTTTTTCTTCTTGAATGTAGGAGTCATGAAATGTCACTGTGCATGAAGTGACAAGGCAATGGAAGCTTGCACTTAGCTCAGGGAGGCAGCAAACTGTTTCCTGATGATCTTGCTGGCTGTTGTCACTTCTGCAAGACTGGAGTGGCCACGGTGCTTCTTGCTCAGCTTCTGGTGGAGGTGTGTGCTCCTGTACCCAGCTGTGCTGCATGTTTGATCCTTAGGGGAAGGAGAAATCTGGCATCCTAGGGCAGAAAATGAAGGCTGTGTCCTGTTCACTAAGGCTGTGTGCAGACTGATTTGCATGTAAAGAACTAATCTGGGCTTGCAGGTGGGTCATTTTGCTTGTCCTGACCCCTTTCAATGTGTCCATGCAAGGTGCAGTGGTGGCACACAGCTTCCTGCAGCCCCTTGCTGCCCTGGGGCTCAGTATCTCACTGCTGCTTCTCCTGCAGTCATCTCCCACCTGGGGCAGCGCAGGTGTTGCCTCTGCCTTCCCTGGGGTCATTGCTGCTGTCTCAGAAACATTCAGTCTCCTGCCTGTGCAGTCTCCTGGATTTCTCCAACTCAAGGTGCACCTCCCTGGGCAAATCACCCAGCCCTGAGCTGGCATCATCTTGCAGTTTGGCCATGAAGGAGCAGCAGCTTACGGTGAGTCTACTTGCTTTGGGGAGGACATGGGATGGGGAGGAGCAGCTGGGTGGTAACCATCCCCAGCATCCTTTCTGTCATGTTGCTCAGCTCTTCTCTGGTGTTCCTGGGCTCTGTGGCCCAGCTGGAGCAAAAAACAGACTTGCTCTCTTTCTGCAAAGCTCTGTGTGATTTAAAGCAAAAGTTTCATCCTGCAAAGGAGAAAAATATATGTAGTAGGGGAGCTGAGGCTGGGTAACCTGGCAGGTGGTGGTGGCTAGTCCTTGAACAGTGATTTTCAGTGTGCTCATCTCTGGGATCTGCTTGAGTGGTGGATTCATAATAAGCAGCTAAAAGGAACTGGGATTATAGTGCTGTCGGAGTCCACACCATTGCTCCAGGACCTCGGCATCTCTCTGTGTGGATCAGAGTAAGAGGAGTGCTTTGAACATGTAATCCTTTCCCATGTTTCAACCTTCATCCCTGTGGCTCTCTGTTAAACTGAAGCATTGTCCTCACATTGTGCTGAAAGATGAGAGAGGCAGATGCAGAAACCTCTGCTCAAAGTGGAATCGCTTAAAATAAAGTCAATATCTAGAATATGTTGTGTTTCTCTCTAATGCAGAAAAAAGCCTTGGTCCTTGGTGTGACCCCATCTCCACATGCTGCTTATTTGAGTTTATTTTCTTACCCTCAGTGGCTAGGGCTACCAAATACAGCGATAAGCCAAACTATTCTGGGGGTTAAGACTGTCCCAGAGAGACTTACACTATTCCTTGTTCCTCCTGCAGAATTTGGGATTATAATGTGCAAGATATTTTCAAATGCTTCTAAGATGAGTTCAGCCCATGGGAATAAGATGCTCTTAGCAGTGTCACTCAGATGTGTTTAGAGAGATGATGAAGCTAAGTTAATTGTTGCCTTCTTGTGAATATTAAAAGCTATCCAAAGCCAAGGAGCTCACCTTGTGCTCCAAGATATTCACAGTGAATAAATGTTCCTTTGCTGTCGCTGGAACTACTCAAAAATGTCTACTACAGTGCTCAAGACTGGGAGCTGTTCATGAAACCCTCATTACATTGACAGGTAGTTTGACTTGTTATTGTGGAAATAAACCTGGTTCCTATAGAAACTAGTTGCTTGTGACTGGTGGGGTCATAGAACAGGTCTGTTTTGATAATTGCACACTCTTCTGATGAGACATCATTTATGTGCATTATGCAGTGTTTCATCAGCATCAGCTCTCCTGTCAGGAGCTGCTAAGGGGATGCTGCTGTAGTTTATGAAAGTGAAAACTGCTGTGGAAAAGTGAAAATAGAATTTTTCAAATCTCTGTTATTAGCTGAGACGCCAAGGGCAGCTTTTAGGTAGGATTTCACATTGGTGGTCTTCTCTGGAGACCCTCCACTGGTCACATAAGTTTGGGATCTGGAACTGTGCAACTTGCCAACAGCTGCAGTGATTCAGGGCCACAGTGGGGGCCCAATTAATCCCACAACTGATCCATGACACCACATTTTATTGCTTCAACTATAGATTAAAGTGGCTGAAATGCATGTGATCGTGTACATTATTAACACTGTCAAGTACAGCCTGTATGTCTTAAATCTTAGAGTAAAATTATCATCTGTGTTTCAAAATGAAGTACCATGTTTCTGATTGATTGAGTTATGGTACAAGGCACGGGCAATTAATTGCTACTTTATAATCACTCCTGTCCTGCGATGAATTCCAGCTTCCGAGGAACCCCAGGGACCTGCACAGATCAGGGCCAACTTGCTCTGATCTGGTTGAACAGGCTCATCATGATTGCTACCTGGGATTAAATGAAATGGGTACTTAGTGAAATGCAATTCCCTTTCTTTGTCATGGATGACTTTAATCAGTGTTTTAGGAACACCAGGGGAATCTGTAAGCATTGCTCAGCTCTGTGGCTGTTGGTGCCATGGTCCCAGATCTCCCAAGGTTCCTGCTGGCAGCAGCAATGATACAGCTGAGTTAATTCCGCTGCCTTCTCTGTCAATCAGCTGG